AAACGTGGCCATGACGTCCTTCTCCTGCTAACATTCACATTGTCAGAGAATAGAATTCAGGTAATTAAACATTAAAAGCTGGTCCTAAAAAAGATAAACGAAAGAAGTTCATGAATGATATGAATCTGACTATAGATCATTTTGCGGGTCACAGCCAAGTTTCAACATTAACCAAAGACTCATTTACTCTTCATTTTAAGGCCAGAAAGTTGCTACTCAGACTTTTTTGGTATATTTCATCACCGATTTATTGGGTGTGTACCCTTAGAATTCAAAGATGGATCAATGGTTTCATATTTTATGAACGGGGTTTCTCGCTATGAAATTATGGATTTGGTCCAGTTGTGCATGAGATATTGGATTGCGTTTAAGATCTCCCAATTAGTTAACATATCTGTACATAGATACAAATATATATAATATAAACATACATACATAGCACAATTGCACTCAAACCAATGTTTGATGAACCAACATCGGGTAACTTACAGAGCGTTTGAGCAATCCCAACACATCTGAAACCTTTCCACTATTAATTTTTTTATAGTTTTCTAGTTTATCAAGGAATAACACATAACATATAATAAGCATTATACTTTTGCATATCATAGATCATTTCACTTAAGTTTAAAGAAACTTGAGCCACATTAAGAATGTATACAAACGTATAATAATCTAATAAACTTTCGTGGTCAGAATACGTGCTACAAAATCCAATATTTTCTTTGAATACTATAGCAGGCATATATAGAGTTTGAATATTTAATGTAATCGCTCACCAAGTTTTTCTAACTCCTCAAACTCAAAATTATATCTTGAAGAATAAGCCAATACTTCCCTTTCACCAGGAGAAATTGATGGCGTTGAGAAACCGGGCTGCCAAGAAAAAGATATTGTGAACATATTTAACCAATTATCAAGTAATATTAGCTTATGTTTTTCTGAAAGAAATTGTAAAACTACTAACATAATACGTCAATGCATGTCTCTCACCAGGAGAAGCTGATCTCCTTCCAATGAAGTAACCAGGCAACCAAGAAATTTTTTTTTTCATATATTTAGCTACACGTCAAGTAATATTAGCTTTTTTCTATCTGAAAGGAATTTTGTAACTACTCACAAAAGTAATTTACCCACTTTATTTTGCGTATAAAGATCTAAGCTCATACACTTGATCGGGAAAATGCAAAGACTTGATTGTTCTATGCTAATGCACATACGATTAGTTATATCTTCTATATAATTCAACATGTTGATACTTCTCTCCACAAAAGTGTTGTGCTAGAAACTAACTCGAATGTATCGATAGAACTTACCATTGTGGATTGATTCTCTGAAACATTTCTTTGGGAGTACTTCCTAACAGCCTCCAAGATATTTCCAATTTTGCCCTCTTCAAATTCTTCTTTCAGCTGAAATGGATGTACAATATAATTTGATAACAGCGGGACAAAACTATCAAGACATAATATTGGAGTAATCATAAGAAAAATAATTAATGGTGCTACCACAATTATGCTAAAGCATATAAATTGTGAAAATTTATATTTGGAGCACAGGACAAAATTAAAGCAGAGTACAATTATTTATAATAAACCAACTCAATGATCTTTTTTATTATAAAACCATCAAAAGAAAAATGATAGGCCATAA